TTCTTCTCTGTTTCTCCTCTTCTGTATATCTGCCTTTCCAATAAAAATAAATAAATTTTTTAAAAAAAAAAATAATCCAGTGGGTGACTTTTTAAAAAAATTATCTTTGGGACCTAGCATGTGACACAGCAGGTTAAGGCTGCTACCTGCAATTCAGACATCTCATATAGACGACAGTTTGAGACCTAACTGTTCCACTCCACACAGTTCCCGGCTAATGTGCCTAGGAAAACAGCACAGGGTGGTCCTATCGCCTGGCCTCATGCACTGTCAAACCAATTGAACCCTCTGAAACAATGTTTCTCAACCTTCTTCATTTCTTCCTAAACCTAGCTGCTTTCTAGCTGTATAGCACTGTCACATTGCCTCACTCTGAAAATAATTATTTGACTCAAGATTTCTCTCATTCTCTATTTCTGTGTATAATACCATTTATCCCAATGGGTTCAGACAAAGGGAAAGGTCTTCCATCTGCTGATTCACTCCCAGAAGGCTGCAATGGCCCGAACTGAGCCGATTCAGAGAGGAGGAGGCTTGTATCCCAACCCTGAAGACTCCTAGATCCTCACCAAGGACTATCAGTACGAGCTCCGAGGACTACATCCCAACCGCCAAGGAGACCACAGGGAATTGGAGTGCCTTCGGAGGCCGAGAACTCTGAGGTCACCCACCTCCATTTGGATCTCCCACATGGGATGGAAGAAGTCCAAATCCTGCCTTGCAGGATCCAAGGTCATTGAAACGAAAACCAGGAGCACTGAGCAGTCCACAGAAACAGAACAGTAAACTTCCTTCGGGACTAGGGAGAGGAGCTTTCTCTGGTCCTTGCCCGGTTCCGACTTTGGGTCCCCACCCTCTCTCGTAATGACCATAAGGATCGCTCCAGAAATCCCTCAAAACAAACTAACAAACAAACAAATAAGCAAAAAACAACAAAAAAAATAGGATAGGCAGAGAACAACAAGGAAAGCTTAGAAACAGATAGAAAACGGTCAGCGGGGATGCACTTATAACTCACTGGGTGGGACACAAAGATTAGTTACTCCTCACTAAGGTATTGAAGATTTCTTTGCACACCCCTCCTAAAATTGTTCACCTAAACTGCTGGCATATGTCTTGTTAGAGTTATAGAGTTAGACTACCTGAAAAACAGCCAGGTTGTGCAAAATCATGCTTCAATGCTATAAACTGCTAAATACTAAAATGAAAATAGACACAAGACAGCTGAATAGTAATCTATAGCCATTTTAAGGTGTATAGAACCCAGTTGTATATAAACTAATAATTGAAATGTCAATGTAGAAGTCATAGGTTCAGAACTTGCACTCTTTTTTATCTCTCTAACATGCTGGTTACTCAATACCATGTCAACTAATTCCATTACATTATAAATTGTTGTTGATGTAATGTCGGGGCTTTTAATTGGTTGGGATGATACTCTGTTGGCTCTACCTTCAGAACAGAGATGGTCTCCCCAGTAAACTGTTGAACTTATCTGGATAATAAGATACTGGACTTTATGCCTGGTAGATGCTTGCAATGAAAGAATCTCAACTGAATTTGAACTATGGTAATACAACAAGGTGAAGGAATCCACCATGGGGAAAGCGGGGTTGGGGAGGGGAGGGGGGAATCTCAGTGCCTATAAAACTGTGTCACATAATGCAATGTAATCAATTTTAAAAAAAAGAACTGAGCCGATTCAAAGCCAGGAGCTGGGAACTTCTTCCAGGTCTTCCATGCAGGTGCAGGGTCCCAAAGCTTCAGATTTAGCCACTAAGCCATCATGTCAGACCTGGGACCCAAGGTTTTGGGCCATCCTCCACTGCTTTCCCAGGCTATCAGCAGAGAGCTAGATGGGAAGTGGTTCAGCCAGGACACAAATTGGTGTCCATATGGGATCCCAGCACTTACAGTGTGAGGATTTAGCCTTTAAGCCATCACGCCAAGCCCTCAGCAACATTTCTACCAGTAATATAACTGTATGGTGACTAACTGTAGGTTCTCATTTTGGATCTCAATTAAAATTCATTTTATTTCCAATGCAAAGCAAGCATCCAGCCTCTGGACCTATTAAAACTTTTTAAAAGTAAACAAAGTATATCAACATAGAACACTATTCCTTTGAGAGAATAAACAGGAGAAAGAAGATTTAAAATCAAGCAAAGTTGAAAAACACTGAGGAGTTGCTGCTGTGACATTAAATGCAGCAGGTTAAGCTGCAATGCCAGCATCCCATTATCAGAGCATTAGTTCAAATCCTGGCTGCCTTGATCCCAGTACACCTGCGTGCTAATGTGCCTGGGATGACAGCAGACCACAGTCAAAGTGCTTGAGCTCCAGGAATGCCCACAGGACAGCTTAGTGTTCCTGGATCCTGGCCTTCCCGGGCTGCAAAACTTAGGAAGTCAACCAGCAGACAGAATCTTTCTCGCACTCTCTCTTAGCCTCTCCTCTCTCTATTGTGCTTTCAAATAAAATTAAGCTCTACATTATTTTATCTCCTTTTATTTATTTTATTTTATTGGAAAGGCAGATTTAAAGAAAGAAGGAGAGACACAGACAAAGACCTTCCATTCACCTGTTCACTCCCCAAGTAGTTGCAATGGCCAGAGCTGAGCCGATCCGAAGCCAAGAGCTTCTTCCAGGTCTCCCACGTGGGTGCAGGGTCCCAAGGCTTTGGGCCATCCTCTACTGCTTTCCCAGGACACAAGCAGGGAGTTGGATGGGAAGTGGAGCAGCCGGGATATGAACCAGTGCCCACACGGGATCCCAGCTGACACAAGATGAGGATTTAGCCCCTAGGCTATTGCACCAGGCAAAAATAAAGCTTTTTCTCTGTATGGTCCATGCCCACAATGAAGAAATCATGACTGGTTATGAACTTTACTACTGTAACACAATATGGAGGAATTCAATATGGGTGGAAGGCTTGGGGAGGGTTTGGGGGAACCCCAGAACCTACGACACTGTGTCATAAAATGAAATAATAAAGTTTTTTTTAAAATAAAGCTTTTTATAAAACAAGAAAACAAATGTTGTATGCTCAGTAATTCTCTGCAAGAAGTATAATATACAAAGTATGTAACAGGCTCTGAAAAACCCAACAATAAAACAAAGTATCTACCTACAATTATCACACTCATGTCCATTATCCTTCCCTTCACCTCCCACTTCATGGCAGAAAATGAGGTTTAAATGATCTAATTATGTAATTAGATCAGATTCTTGAGCCCTGTTTATTAATAGTTATGCTTACCAGTTATCCTCCCTAAATTCATTTCCTCATCTGTAAAGCAAAAATAAACACCTTATAAAGCTTTTAATTTTAAAAATATATATAAACCTTTTAATTTGTAAAGTTCTTAGCACTGTACCCACTATCTCTTCAAAGATACACACATTCAAAACCACAGTGACACAGATCTCCAAGGATACTGTCAGAAACTATCAGCTGAAAATTCACAATTCAGGAATGGCATTTTGGTGTAGTTAGTTAAGCTGCCAACTGCAATGCCAGCATCCCATAGGAACCCCAGTTCTGCTCATGTCCCAGTTGCTCTACTTATGACCCACCTCCTAGCTAATGGGCAGCCTGGAAGAGCAGCAGAGATGACACAAGCGCCAAACAGGTATACCCATATAAGATGCCAGCATCACAGGGGGTGGGTTAAACCTGCCACACAATATAGCCCCAAACCCTTTAATTTTAATTCAAAACGTCACCTGAAATTTTAGTTTGTAACTCTAATACTTGCATATCTGTTGAACTTTTTTTTTTATTTATTTACTTTTATTTGAAATGCAGATTTTTAAAGAGAGGAGAGACATCTGCTGGTTCACTCCCCAAAGAGCCACAACAGCCAGAGCTGAGCTGATCCAAAGCTGGGAGCCAGCAGCTTCTTCCAGGTTTCCTACATGAGTATAAAGTCCCAAAGCTTCTGACCAGCCTCAGCTGTTTTCCCAGGCCATAAGCAGGGCGCAGGATTGGAAGTGGAGCAACTAGGACTTGAACCTTTGGTCTATCAGGGATATACACAATGCAAATAGCAACTTAACCAGTTTTAATGTTTGTTGTCCCTTGTTCCCATGTACTTCATTTTTTCATTCAACTGTCAGTAAATACGTATCTGGTGCCTTTTAAGAGATTTTTTTTTTAAGGGTGAGATTAACTTCCATAGGTCACTTTTTAATAGTTTTGAAATTGTTTCTACAAAAATAGGCGGTACCATAAAAATGTTAGTTTGTGTAGTAGATTGCAAGCCTGTGAGTTCTGGTGCTCTCCTCTTGCCACGCTTGAGAGACCCTGGGTGGATGAAACGTTCAACAAAAACTTGTTGCCTGGGAGGAGCTCTACCTCGCACTTTGTGTCCTCAAGAGCTACCACACAAAACTTAACACGGGCATTTAAACTTTAATGCAACTTCAACGCCAAAGCTCTGCTCAGAATAACAAGACAACAAAAGCAGGGCTTCAAGTCCTTTGTTCAACTCTGGAATCCGTTTTGGAAGACGCAGGACAAAGCTGGTAAAGAAAAAAAGGAGGGGGAGGCTGCGCTGCAGGCTCCCAGGAGACCTAGGACCGTTTCTCTGCAAAGTGAGGTATCAACCAGCACCGCCCTCCGTGGGGCCGCAGCTACCTGCCGGAGGCAGGGGTGATGGCCCCCAAAAGCAGCCAGCCTCAGCCGGGGAGCGAGCGGGTGCGGCGCCGAGGACGAGGCTGGGGCGCTGGAGGAATAAAGAGGAAGGCGTGGCAGGCAGGACAGCAGCCAGCCAGTCGGGCCCGGCGAGGGCACCGCGTCCGGCCGAGGAGGGGACACGAACGGGGTGTCGCGAGCAGCGCAGCCCGCGATGACAGCTCGGGCCGGGGGCGACCCGCGAGCCTTTCCCGGAGCGCGCCCCGCTTGCCGTCCCTCCGCCCCGCCCCGCCGCGGGCCGCAGCGCCCCATTCGCCCCGCCTCGCAGGGCACACGACGCCCGGGCCCTCCTAGCCTTGCTCACCGAAGGAGGATCGCCGTCGCCCGGCCTTCCTCCTGTCCATCTTCTCCAGGTGCTGGACTCGCAGTTGTTGGCGCTGTCACCTCAAGACCCCTCGGGCTTGGGGGAAGGGAGAAGGGTGAGAGGAAAAAAAAAACACACACACAGGAAAGTGTGAACTGCGCTTGCGCAAGAGCCTCCGCAGGCCTTCTGGACGGAAGTCGGCTACCCCTCCCACCTCCACCCGGAAGTCAATTCTTGGGACCAGCTTTCTCTCGGAAGCCGCCTGTCCTGCGCTGGTCTGTGGTACCTTATACAAAAATGAAGCAGGGAACATGATTTTCCCTGTGTTCCTAAAAGGCATTCTTCACTTTGAAGACTTTGATGACAAAAAAATTGTAGAGAGAACGTTAAGAATCAATCCTCCAGGTCCTTGGATGTCTCTAGAGACCCTAGAATAAAATAAAGCACTACCTTTTGCACTATTACTTCTCTCACAGTTTGTCATATACGTTTGTCCTCAAGACACTACCTCAACTCCAGAAACAGTGTTTTAAGAAAAGACTCACCCGATAGGCATAGCCCAGCAATTTAGCATTGCAATACAAATAAATTTAGGTTAGCTAAATTTGTATTAGTGAAGTAACACACACAAAAAACATCTTTTTAAAATTAAAACTGGCTTTTTAAACACCTCCAAGTGGGAGAAGAACACTAGATCTCAATCGAAACATTAGATGCTGAGAAGATAACAAAGTAGGTAGGTAAAAGTTGATACTCATTTAGCTGACATTTGTTACGGTATAAGGGACTACACATGTATTCAATGAATCCAAGAGCTGGTACATTTACTCTAACATGCTTTAACAAGGCTCTTCAAATTAAAGATCTGGGCTATTTTGTTACCCATAATTTATATATTTGAATACTTTTTTTTTTAAGATTTATTTTTATTATTTTTTTTATTGGAAAGGCGGATATACAGAGAGGAGAGACAGAGAGGAAGATCTTCCGTCCGATGATTCACTCCCCAAGTGAGCGCAACGGGTCGATACTATGCCGACCCGAAGCCAGGAGCCTCTTCCGGGTCTCCCACGCGGGTGCAGGGTCCCAAAGCTTTGGGCTGTCCTCGACTGCTTTCCCGGGCCACAGGCAGGGAGCTGGAAGGGAAGCGGGGCTGCTGGGATTAGAACCGGCGCCCATATGGGATCCCCGGGCGTGCAAGGTGAGGACCTTTAACCACTTGCGCCACCGCGCCGGGCCCTATATTTGAATACTTTAAAAAAAATGGATGTGTGGACCAGCACAGCAGTCCGACAGGCTAATTAATGTTCCCAGTTGAAGCTCTGACATCACTTAGAAATGCCTGTTCTTGCTGGTTCTCATCCTGGCTGCTCCACTTCCCATCCAACTCCCTGTTTGTGGCCTGGGAAAGTGCTCCGGCCAGCAGAGCCAGTAACGTGGACAGGGAGAGGGTCTGGGGATGAAGCACCGACAGGGGACCAGTATAGTAGAAGCCTCTGCAAAGTCTCTCTTATTGCTGCTTCACCTATCTTTATATGCTCTCCCCCCCCCCGCCCCATCCTAATTTAGCCAGACTATTGACTACAGATGAGTCCAATTAGTCTAGATGTTTTTAGCCACAAGCCCAGTTCCTGTTCCTGCTCATTCCAATGAGCACTAACCAACTCCTTAGCCCACAACAGAAAAGCAGTAGAGGATGGTCCAAAGCCTTGCCACTCTGCACCCATGTGAGATACCCAGAAGATGCTCCTGGCTCCTGGTGTCAGGTCAGTTCAGCTCCAGCTGTTGCAGCCATTTGGGGAGTGAACTAGCAGTCAAAAGATTTCCCTCTCTCCTCTCTCTATCTCTTCTTCTCCCTGTAAATCTACCTTTCCAATAAAAATAAATAATTTTAAAAGCGTAAGAGGCATAATCTACTTCCATCCAAGCTATCAGCTTACATGAAAATAAAGTAAAACTTATGAAATCATAAAATTATGTTAAGCAAATTATTCAGGTTACAAATACTTCATTTAACATATGATTTTATCAATATAACATTTCTGCCAATACAAACCAAGCCAGCTAGTTATCCCAAGCTGAGCTTGCTTTGTGTAAGATTTCTGAAAATAAATGATCTTTCAGCTAAACTTTCAAATTTGTTCTTCTGAACCACAATTGTTTGTTGTTTTACTTTAACTTTGTTTTTAGCTCTTCAGAATATATTGTCATGATGAAAAACAACAGGACTAAAAAGGTTAACTTTCTACTTCAGAGCAAGTCATTTGATAACTACATTGCATCTTATTAAAAATTAAATTACCTGGGCACAGTATGGTACCCTAGTGGTTAAAGGCCTCACCTTGCATGTACCAGGATACAATACAGGTGCCAGTTCATATCCCAGCTACTCTATTTCCCATCCAGCTCCCTGCCTATGATCTGGGAAAGCAGTAGAGCATGACCCAAGGCCTTGGCACCCTGCATCCACATGGAAAACCCAGAAGAAACTTCTGACTCTCAGCTTCGAATCAACTCAGACACTTGGAGAATGAGCCAGCAGATGGAGGACCTTTCTATCCCTCCTCTCTGTAAATGTGACTTTCCAGTAAAAATAAATAAATAAATATTTTAATGATATTTCATATACCTTTTCAGCCATTCTGGCTAAAGGTTCTTTATTTTAAAAGTAAGACATGGGCCCAACACAGTAGCCTAGAAGCTAAATCTTTACCTGGGCTGTGCCAGGATCCCATATAGGTGCCATTCACGTCCCAGCTGCTCCACTTCCCATCCAGCTCCCTGCTTGTGGCCTGGGAAAGCAGTAGAGCACGGCTCACCACCTTGAGACCATGCACACATGTGGAAGACCCAGAAGAAGCTCTTGGCTTTGGATCAGTTTAGTTCTAGTTGTTATTGCTACTTGGGGAGTGAACCAGCAGATGGAAAATCTGTCTCTCCTTCTCTCTGTAAATATATCTTTCCAAGAAAAAGTAAATTCTTAATATACTTGGATATAATATAATTTTATGTACATTTACTTTCTACTGTATAAAAAAAAATCTTTTGAATTGAAATCAGGGCCTGGCACAGTGGCTTAGTGGCTAACTCCTTGCCTTGCAAATGCCAGGATCATATATGATTACCACTTCATGTCCCAATTAGGTCTACTTCTTATCCAGTTCCCTCCTTGTGACCCTGGGAAAGCAGTCAAGGATGCCCCAAACCCTTGAAACCCTGCATCTGCATAGGAGACCTGCAAAAAACTCCTGGCTTCTGATTGGCTCAGCTCTGGCCATTGTGGCCACTTGGGAAGCAAACTAGCAGACAAAAGATCTTGTTCTCCTTCTCTCTGTAAAATCTGATCTGCCTGACCAATAAAAATAAAATGAATCTTTAAAGGAAATCTATTATCAAATCATCGGCTCAGTTGTTTCAGGGAAGAGAAGATGAACTGGTGTGATCCTTACAGATATGATTTTTTACCTTTGGCTAGACAACCTTATTATTTCCTTTAATTTTATTTTTAATATTGTTTACATAGTTAAGAGGGATGCATACTCCTGTAGGCCTACAGTCAAGGTGAGGAGGTTCAGGTATGAAGAAAAGTGAATAGGAAAATGTTTCAGTTGTTTTTCTCTCTTTCGTGTCCACAGGAGAAGAGATGAGAGGGCTGTGGTTTGCTGCTGTCAAACTACATCAGCACCAAGGGATGATGGACATTCATTTGATGACATCTTAGAGACCCCAGTGCAAGGAAGACTGTTCCAAGGGTACTATGGAATGGTTTTGAGAAATTGCTAATTTTGTTGCTCCAGGACTGAGAAAAATCTTTCCAAGGTCTACTGATTGACAAAGTCAACCTTACTGCAACCAAAGACTCAAGAACATGTTGCAAAGATTGGCCAGGAGAGTTGGCCAACCTATTCTGTTTCCTTCCTCTGATGAGGCAGTCAACATTCCTAGCTGGTCTAGTGGAGCTGTCTGTCATGTCCCCCATGTATATCTGGACATCCTGTCCACTTCATAGGCATCAGTAACTGAAGCAGCCCAGTCCTGATACATGCACTCCAAATTTTTCGCTATAGCCGAAGTCTGAGTCCAGCAGTCTAGTTGGGGAATCCCACAAGAAACCTCATCTACTAGTAACCTTGGAGTCTGTAGGGCAGAACTTCCAGCAGCCTGTTCACTGTTGGCAGGTCCCAGGCTGGGTCGGACTCCATGCTCAGAGCCCTGATTCCAGCAATCACCAACACACAGTGAGCTGGGCCCAAGTAGCCAGTGTGCCCATTTGGTACCAGGCTCTGCCTGCTGGCCATGGTGGCAAGCACTGGGGTTTGGGGAGTATGAATTGCTGCCTAGGTACCTCCATATTGAGCCCACTGTGCTTCTGAGTTGCAAATTAATCCTGAAGACTTACAACCACAGAGTAAATAACTTTCTTAAAGGTAAGCAAGGGTACTAAGACCTGGTTGTTTAGAGGAGAGGGACCAGATGATCTTTACGTGTCAGGCTGATATACCAGCCTCCTGTCAGTCCTGTCCAGAAGTTGTTATCACTAAACAATGCTGACCACTGTATACGAGTCCATACAAAAGCTAGGACTGGGGGCTTGTCTAGCAGAGCCAGATCCTAGTACTTCACAGAATGTTGGATCAGGAGATGGGTCACATTAGGAAGGGACATAACATTTACCAGCACACGAGAAAACCATTTCTGGGAGTAGATTCTGTAGGGGATATGTGAGTCAAACCATGTAGAAATACTACTCCCACGGGTTAGCTCAAGAGTTCTGGTGGTGATAGCTAAGCTAGGTGTGACCAAGGAGCCTGCCATCACTCATGGGTAAAGGAACTGACAACATTCTGAGCTGGTGAAGGCAGCAGCACCCAAATGTGCATTCTAAATAGTGTGGGGTGGGCCAGGCTGCAACTGTCACCAGCTCAAACAAGACCAAATGGAAGGCCAGACTGATCTAACACCCACTGGCATGTATAAGAACTGGGTCTGGGAGTGGGGTCAAGTGGAGAAACTTGGGAAACTCCCCTGGTGGGTCATAGCTCCCACTGGTGAACACATGGTCCAGGTCTGAGGGCCGGACAAGCCAGGAAAAGTAGCTTCAATGGCTGGCTAATGTGT